GTAGCGAGCTGGATAGCGGCAGACAGCAATTTCTGCCAACCCACTCCACCACAATGGTGCGCATGCCTGGATCTTCTGGTGACACACAGGGATTTCACCGTGAGTCCGACGAAGATGCCACCAAGATCAAGTTGGAACCTGGGAAGGAGGCGTCAGTGGAAGGGGCATCGCCGCAGACGCTGCTGAGGGAAGCAGGATACACGCAAAGTCAGAGTGTTGGGAGGAGCTCTGATAATGCCAAGGAGGAAGTTCCAGACATGAACCTGTAAGAAAAGCCTCGCCCTCCTCCCCAGGCTCTCTCGGGAGCCCCCGCGGATGGTGACACAGGTCGCGATCCACCGGTTGAAGCTCGGACGGCGTAAGCCGACAGAAACTCAACCACAAACACCCCGTCGGCCTCGCGCGATGCCGCGAAGAAGAAGAAGAAGCCGAAGTCATCCCGGAAGCAACTGAAGGCGCCTGACTCCGACACGGAGGACCGCGGGGACCAACAGTGGACCAACGAAGATCTGGCCCAGGCCTTCTACAAGAAAGACCTCTTCTCGTTCTTGTTGGACGACCCAGTGATGAAGATCCTGAACCCGACGTTGAGCGGAGAACTCCAAGGTCCCACGATGGAACCAGCGGAGACGCCTCGACAGCTGGAGGCGTTGACTCAACTCTTGCGAATGCTGAAAGTTGCAGGCATCACAGCAGGGGCGTTTAACGCGTGTGAGCTCTTCGATCTCGAGACGTCGGTGATCCAACACTCCGTGAGAGTATTGTACGAGAAGTTGGAACCGTTGGTCGGGTCGATCACGCAACCGGAGACGGTCAAGCTGACGCCGACCTGCAACCCAGAGTATCATACAGGTCGTCGCAGTACGCATCGGCCACGTCGGAAGCAGAGTCGGACAACTCCGCTGATCTGCAGCGGATGACGCTTGGTCCGTCCGGAGAAGAGATGCTACGGGATCGCCAGGCTAACAAGAAGCCTGATCGATCATCGCACGAGCCGACACCCATGGCCGCACTGACAGTGACGTCAAGGAATCCAGAGCAGATGCAGACCTTCTTCAATGCAGCCATGAGCCGATACCTCCAGGAGACCCAAACCGAAGGGTTGACACCAACGGCCGGTCGACACACGACGACCAACCCAGATGTGGAGATGGAATCAGTGGAGTCCCATCACGGCTCACACGAAGTGTACGATCCAGACAACCTGAGTATCGACTCGCCTCTACAAGCAGTGATCGCATCCGCAGGAGCAGCCTCTGCACCCTTGACGACAACGCCACGTATACGAGTGTCGGCGATATCGGAGCTGAAGGAATACTCCGGCAAAGATCACGACGAGGA